CTGCACTTAGCAGGCATCCCACACTATTTGTCATCTGCCTCCTTCTTGTCTTTGATCTACTTAGTCTCTCTTCTCTGCTCTCAGGCTTTTCTGCCCATGCTTTTTGCTGATGACCCTTCACATTAGTTTTTCCAGCTTTTCAGTGCTCCCCTGGGCAAGGAATCTGAAGCTTTAAAACACTAAGGGCAAAATGTCAATATTCAGCCACCCAAAGGAGGCAGAGCAACACACAGCTGCTCTTAAAAAGATTAAGGAAAGCAGAGGAGCCTAAAAGTGTCCTGTTGATGAAGTGCCAACAGAGACACTCCTATCTCTGTAAGGGTTTCTCCTTTCCCTCTAAGCAAAAGTAGCTGGCAGCAGCCTTCCTCAGAAGCTGCAGCCTCCCTCAGAAGCTGCAGCCTCCTAAAGCCCTGACCTGCCAGGCAGGCAGCTGCCCAGGGCACCAGAATGTCCACAGCAGCAAAAAGAACCTTTTTAGTCCATGTCTAGCGCTAGCCTTGCTGTAACACATAGCTACAAGAAGAAATTTTTTTTCTCCAAATGTCTTTGGAACATATTCTACTTGTAGAAGCATAAGACAGAATGGAAGTTACCTGGACTTCCACGCTGATTTCTGCATTTAAGGCTACATTAAGTTTAATCTCATTTTGACTTTACTGTGTGCACCAAAATAGCAAACAGGTGGATCATCATGGTATTTGTTTTGCATGTTTGTAACCCAGTTGCCTCACACACTTCTCAGAAGTACAAGACCCAACAAAGAATCTGCCTGGGAAAAAAAAGAAAGGTGAATCATGCTAGTTCTGTATAAACCTGTGCTGACAACTGAGTAACATACTTGAAAGCATCTTCTGTTTTCAATTTGTTATATGTTGTCTTTGGCATCTCAATCCCTGCACCAGTAAATAACACACAAAGTAGATGGATGTAAGCTGCTACTTGACATAAATAGCAGCTATGCCATTTATTGCTCACCTGGCTCTCATCAGGGCTCTGAAATGCTTAGGAGTAGTGGAAAAAATAGGAAAGACAAAACTGAAAAGAATAGGTGTGTGGGGAAAAAGCTGACATCAGCTTTTTTACTGACCCCCTAAGACCACCTTTTTCATAACAGCACTGCACTGGTTCTCTTTCATCAACACCACCGGGGCAATCTTACCACACCTGCTAAAACTTCACTGCCATGACTTCCTGCAGGCTACAGATTCTCACAGAGCCTTTCACAGAGCCCTTGGTATTTCCAGTATTATTGCTAGTCCTGCACTCCTCACTAGTGCTTCCAAAGGGAAATTATACTGCACTAGACACCAGGGCACTTCCAGCAAGAGGACGTGAGCTGCACGTGATCCCACCACTCATTGTCTCTCCCTGATATTTTCCCAGTTTCAGGTTTTGAAAAGGCGGGAGTCTCCAAGATGTATGCTTTCCAGCCAGTTTAATGAGCACCGAAGCCTGGGCAACACCCAGTGCCCAATCCGAAGGCAAAGCAGGGAGGATGGTCCACCCATTTTTGGCACTACCCCACCACAGCGCTCCTGAGTCTTATCTGAGTGAGGCAAGAGCACTGCTGGAGCTCCTTGGGGAAGGAAGAAGAGCAAATGTAGGAAATTTGATTAGAAATAAGTATAATATTCAAAATGTTATTTTGTCAGTGGATCAATCAGGATGTAATTAATATTAGTTTGCTTTGGATATAAATGCACCAACATACGGTAAGACTGTGATGGTGTGGTCAGACACAATGTATAATTATTTTATGTACATATGTAAGCACCGTGACCACCACAGAGGCGAAAATCTGTGTAGTTGCATATCCAAGGAAGAAAAAAATGCAATACAAGGTAAACACAAGAAGCACATCCCCCAAATATACAAGGATGAGTGGCAAGACAACAAACAAGACAAGCAGTATGAGGAACAGATGAGACCCCTTCCATTTTTTGGAATAGGACAAGTAGCATTAAACCGTGTAGCTTAAGCAATACATATATTGCTGAAGATAGGTATGTAAGAGAGTGCACCACAGCATGGCACTCTGCAAAGGCTTTATAGGTATAGGAAATGATCTGAATAATGTAAAGTACAGTCCTCTAAAACTTTTGCAGATAAAATATATCTCACATCCCTGCTCAACCCTCTTCAGAGACCAGCCTTGCATTCAAAACTAATATAAATCCAAACACAACGAAATCAAGTCATCAGGTACACTACAGCCGTTTCCAGATTCTTGGGATGTGTGAATGTGTGCTTTATCTCACATTCCAGTGGAGTCTTACAACAAGTGCAAAAAATGCTGAGAAATACAAAGCTGAGGCCTGTTCAGACCTGGCTGGGCTACCACTGTCAGATGGCAAGTATGTTCTGCAAACCATCTCCTTTTCCTGCTCAGAACAGAGAGAGTAAAAATGTTTATAGCTATTTGAAAAACTCCTGTATTACTAGCAACATTCCACCAAAATGCAAGCATACACCTTCTTAAACACAGTTTACTTACTTTGGCTAGAACACAGCTTTTACAAGGTATACTGTTTATTGCAAGAGTTTCTAAGCTGAAAACATAGCTGTACAAAATTCTAACTCATTCGAATGCCTTGGTTTTACAGGCCACAAATGAAAAGGAAATATAATCTCACCCCCTGCAGATATCTAAATAGTAACAACTTCCAGTTATTTCCACAGCCACAAATACTGTAGTGAAAAGTAATAATAGTTGCCGCATCATTGTTACTGTTAGGGAAAAAAAAAAAGGAACAGAATGAAAAATTAACAAAACTAATTGTTTCATCTCAGTGGAGCAGAACCCGTTATGTCCATGTCAAGTCTTTTTGTACTTCAAATATAATACTATTCTTGGATCTATAAAATTAACCTTAGTGATAGAAAATAAGAATAAGCTATACAAGCTGAAAGCATTGTTAGCCAAAAAACTGATATGGGCTCAATCCCATAGCTCACAGCTGGCACTCTTACCCCAACATCTGTCTTAAGGGTAGTGTGAAGGTATCTAGATGCCCTGGACATGAGTGCAAGGAAATTTAGGGCATGGCACAGCAGTGTACCTGCTGCAGGCTGTGCCCCGAGCAATCCCCATGCAAACCCCAACACCGAGGCACTTTGTGTCAAGCTGCTTCTGACACTGCTTTATGGAGGCTGCCCAAGCAAGCAACTCATATGGCCTCCCAGAAACTGCTCTGGATTCAAGACAGAAAGCCATATAGCCAGCTTAAAAGTTTCCAGAACCCCTCTTGTTACAGGATGCAAGTTCTATGTCTCTATTTCATCAGCGCAGACACGTCCATCAGGAGGACATTCAGACACAGACAACAACAGTCAGACAAAGGGTAGACATGGATCATAAGCACAGTCGAGACATATTACACCCACTGAAATAAATAGAGCACGTCTAAAGGCCTCTCCCAGCTGCATTCAGTGCTCACTCATGGCTGGCTCTCGGTTTAGACAAAGTCAGAGAAGTTTGCACAGATGGCAAACAACCCTGACTGCACTCTCCACATCACTGTCATGGCACACACGGAGAACCAAGCTCACAGCAGATGCTTTTCCTGCTACTGGCCAGATAAGGGGGTATGGATGGGGTGGAAGCTGTGGCTCCAACATGGAACAGGTGGGGACAGCAACAACTCCAAGCCATCACCAACCTCTCCCTTTGGCCAGTGTCCTGGAGGAGTAGAGTCCAGCTCTTCCTGGCACAGGCCTCAGCAACTCTCCTTTCTCCAAGGACAGAAGGATTACTCTGCCCAGCTAACACTGAGTTAATGTGCCATTAATGATATTAAATCGGAGACACTGAGTTCTTAGAGAAGAATGGGACCACTGTAAAAGTATCAGCTTCCTCATTATTTTTTTTTTTCCAATTTAAAGCAGTATGTTCATACCTACTCTTAAAACTTTTGTTACGAACAAAAATACAAAAATGTTTTGTTGAAGTCAGTAAGGGAAACAAACTTCATGAAGGTCAGGTTGAAATGCATATTAATCAATCTTACTCTAATTTCTTGAAGCACACAACTAGATTTTCATCCTATTTAAGGTACGCTGAATTCAGCGTAAGTGAAGCTAGCTTCACAAGTATCAAATTTCTTCTATGAGTTCAAACAACCAAGAACAAAACTTAAACATACTCGACTGATGGTTATCCACAATTTGTTGTTAAAAAAAATAAGGCCAAGTACATTTATTCAGGAGTTTAAAACAAACAAACAACAACAAACAAAAAAATAAAAACCAATATGCTCCAGTAACTTCTGACCTCTTACCAAAATCCATTAGTCAGGCACATCAAAGTCACTATCACCAGAGAAACTACACCCACTTTCACATGCTGACAAAGAGACCAGAAGACTGTTACTATCTGTAGGGCTTTTATCAGCTCACTCAGCCTCTGCCTTTATCATTTCCACCAGCTTTATTTGATCTGAATTCACAGGACAGAAAGTCTGTACTTACAACTATAGGCAATGCATGACCTGGGCAACATCTCTCCAGCACAGAGTGCAGAGAGGCAAAGGTTCAATAGGCCAAGGTTCATTTTTGTTTAGGTTTTTTGATTGTCCTTAAAAGTTAACTACAGAACTTTAAAGGTCTCTGAGAACTCAGAAGATGATAACAGGGTAAACAAAACCTCACAGCTATCCTACAATGTTTCAAGATTTTGCTTCAGAAAAAAATAAATACTGAGATTACATACAGACTGTGTCTGTTCTCCAACAATCTTAAAATGCATCTTTTTTCCAATTTATTACTGGGATTTATTTTTACTTGCTATGGAACCATCTGTTGGAGTTATGAATTTTCAAAAGCAGAATGACAGAGAAATCTTTTAAATAAGGCAAGACAGACTAACACCACATGCTCTTTGGAAAAGCATCCTCTGTCAGCATGGGTAACATATGCTTCTTGTACAAGACAAGCAATCCCACTTCACAGTTCTATCTTCCATTACCCTGCTTCTATAATGTAAAGGCACTGATAGATCTTACCGCTGTACAAAAGATGCAGCTGCATTCCTGAAGAGTGGTCATCTTATCCAGGGAATATTCACAGAGACATAGCTTGCAAGTGAGTAGAGGCTCCAGAGCTAGCTCTCCAGCTTCTGACTCATCAGCTGTCATGGTGTGAGGACAAGCCTTCCCAGGAGAGCCCATTCAGTCATTAATGGTCCACTCAGCCTGAAAAGAGAAATTGATAGCTGAAACATCACACAAGCCATGTAGTCAGTTCTATTGACCTGGGAATTTACATCTAAGACCCATAACAGTGCCACCACACCCAAATGTACTTCTTGACATCTTAGGGCCAGTTTCACACTTCAGGCCACTCAATATTTATAAAGAAGGTGACTGAGAGCCCACCTCCTCAAAAGACCTGAACTTGACTGAGTTCTCAGAGAACATTCATCTTGCTGGCACAAAACACTTCAGTCAGGTTACTTAACATCAAATTAAAGAAAAAAACAAACACAAACCAAAACTCACACAGATGGGGCATTACCCATATTACATGCAACAGGATAGTGGTCAGAGCCCTCACCAAAGTCCTAGGAGCAGGGAAATTATTTGGGAAAATAAATTGTTAATTAAAAAAATAAACTGATTCATATGTGCATGGATTTATATCACTGCCTTTTCAAATGAGTTTCACAGTCATTCCCCTCTTATCCCTATGGGATCCTTCAGTCTTCAATGCACCCACACAGTGCCAGGGGGTGTCTCTACTCAGACTCTCTATTTCAGCTGGTGGCTCAGGAGCTTTCCTAGGCAGTGCAAGACCAGAACAGATTCTCACTCTCCAGGCAAGTACTTCAAATATTCAGTCTGTAATGTGGTGGGTGGGTACCATACACTCCACTTTCTCCATTAGTTGTCTCTGAGATAGCAAGCTGGCAGTCTACTGCAAGATGGGTGGTGAAAACATAAGGAAAAGGTTTCAGATTGCATGTCCTACTTCATACAGGGCTGAAGCCTAAATACAAATGAGAATTTAATGAGCAGTTCTCTTTTCTGCTTTGCCTTGATGATGCCAGACAGTAGCTTTTGTGCATCCCACTCCCTGGCATCCAGCCCTTCTACTTCTTTCATAGGGCTCTTAGGCATCTAACTGAGGTTTGTGAACCAAGAACTGAGTGCACTAGCACTTTGACAGGGAGATGCTCAGAAGAGCCATGTTTTCACCACACATGTCACAGCAGCGCTTGGGGAAGAAATTCCTATTGTTTGATGAGCAACAAATGGAAATATCATGCTCAGATGTAATGTTTTATGGCCTAAGCATTTGAAAACACTGCACCATAATCATAAAAAATTTCAAGACCCTCATTCTTACACAGTAACACTGAAAAAGGAATTAAAAAGAATATCCTCAAGCTTAAGCTGAAACAATGCAAAGCACATTTGAAGATTTTATTCGCCTCAACATAGACAGTGGGGTTCACTGCAGCATTTAAGGCACAGGAAAATCTATTCCTGTCTCTAAGAGACTTGACCCAATTTTCACAGACCTGCTTCTGAACACATTTAGGTGGTGGCAAGACAAACTCCACACCTATTTGTTACAAGCAGAAATGTGGTGACCAGCTGTACACAGCTACTTGCAGCAGCATTAAGAGTGCATCTCCACTAAATCTAAAGAGTTGCATCACGAATGCAGATTGCCTGAACACAAAACCAATCAAGACCCATCCACGTGCCTGTCAGATTTGACATCTTATGAGACAAACAGGAGACTCAAGCCCTTTGGTTCACTTCTGCTGGTCTTCCCTGCAGTCCTGAGCGTCCTCGTGGCAGGGCTGTCAGGTCACATTTGGCAGCCGTGTCCCTGCAGCCGTTCTGTGGCTCCCAGAGCAGCCAGGCCAGCTGCAGATAGTCAGTGTGTATGTGACTTACTGACTTGCAGTATCTGCTGAATTCGTCCATAGAGGGAGAAATAATGAGGCTCATGGAGTTCAAGTGGTCTATGCACATGGAACCCTTCCCCACATCTTCCATCTCATAATCTGATGCACAGTCAAGCCCCATTCCCAGACCTGTCCCCTAAGCTGCATGACCTGTGCTCCCACAGTCTTCAGGAACACACTTTCCTTTCAACAGTCGTGCAACCACAACAAATCTGGGTCAGAGCACACTTACTCCTTTCTAATTTTTTCACTTTGAAGTTTTTTAGCCTAGCCTGTAAGAGAAGCCACCAGATTTGTACCTTGGGATGTCTTTGTTGCAAGCATCCAGTTTCAAGAGACACAAGAGTCATAGCCAACATTCTGGCAATCAAATTCCTGACCACAAATCCAAAGCAAACTCTCTATTTTATGGCTTGCTATCACTAGTTCAGAAATATGCCATTCCAACATTATTGTTGGTGCAGTCCTGGGACCTGCTGCCGTGATCCCCCCCCCCCAGTTTTTCCATAGAGCTGCAGAGCTGGAGCTCCAGCACAGCAAAAACCTTGGAAGGAAGCCTCCCTCTGAGTCAGGGACTACAATACTCTTCTGTAATTACTGCAAGGGGGTGGGGAGGAACACTGAGTCACTGGAAACGCTATGGTAGATCAAGAACTACCTGTTATTTAAACCTACGTGCTAGACATTATCTCAGTATTTAGGGGAATTTTAACATTTTTACTCAGGTTGCCTATCAGCATCATCCACATCTGTACAGTGAGCTACTCATTGCCACCCTGCACAGATCTGAGGTTTCTTCACTTACACGGTAAAAGGTAACAATGTTAAAAGGAGGGATGCACAAAAGGACAGGTAGGAATATTTCAGGATGTGGGAATGGATATAAAATGGATGCAGTTGTTTCCTAAGTCAGTGTTCTTTTTATAACCCAAAGGGTTATGACCCTGGATGCAGGCAGCATTAAGGCAGCTGTAGGAAGATTCAGGTGTACGACTGAGGTTTAGGGCTGAGGGCTAATTTTAGATGGCCTAAATCCAGGATTCAGTGCAACGACAACAACAGTGACAGTGAGAGCAGGCTCTTGATACACCACTCTGCTCTAGTAGCAACCACATGCCACAGTATAGGCAATATATAGGCTGTAGGGACTCATCATGACATCCCATTTTCATTATGATAATGCTTGTTTCTGAAGATTGTAGGTTAAATTCAGTTTTTCTCCCTGTCCCCCACACACTCATCCTTCCCTCACACCAGGATTCTAGAGCAGGGCTGAGGTTCTCCTTAAAACAGGCAGAGCACCCCATGGAAATCTCCAGCAGACAATACCAAGCAAACTTGGCAGACCAGAGGATCCAGTCCCCAGACAGGCCAGGCTCACCTCACCACAGCCTCAATAACCCCATCGGAGCTCATCAAATGGAGCAAACAGAATCAGAGGCATGGAGACAGCTCCATGTCCTGCCTGCTCAGTCGCTGAAGGAGAAACACCATGGCTATCAGGAACAAAACTCACTCCATACTCCCTGAGAGGCCAGCTTGTCCATAAGCAGTTCACTGGATCAGGATGGCACAGGCAAAGCCATCCTGTTAGCACTGAAAGCCTGCCTATCCAGGGGAGAGTGGATGTACGGCCTTCTTGGCCTGCTCCTTTTCCCAGAGCAACCCAACCCACTGGTCTCTGTGTCTGCCCAGCAGAATTGGGACTTCTGCTACTGCTGCCAAGGGACACATGCAGGGGGAAGAGTTAAGGGTTATGGAGAAGGGTAGTTCCATCCAGCAGCAACTGGGCTCTGAAATCAGATATGCAGAGGAAGTTCATTCTCATTTTCAGATCGCAATAGAAAAAATGGGGAGAGAAAGATGCACGGTTTCCTCCAGTTCTCACCCTCTACTGCTTCTCCTGCTCTTTACCAACACTTCAAGATGACTGTCCTCCCCAGAGCTCTCAGATTATCTCCTCAACTTTACCAGCCTGGCAGAATTCACTTTTCCATGTGCTTCAAAGAAGCCATGAAGTTCTACCTCTGTAGTTTTAGGGCTTTCACTTTGCTACGTTTAGTCCCACAGACTGTCATTAGTTAATTATACATCCATCAGTTCTCTTTACAGTGGATTAAAATTCCTATTGTAATTACAAGTGCGTTGCCTATAGGTTAGGCTGAAAATAAACCATCTTCAGTTAATGTGTTGTGCAGGGGAAGAGGGAGTCACTGAAGAATGAGTTGGAGACAAAGAGGAAAAGACCATTCCATATTTGATTATATCAATAAAAGTGTCCTGAAATGAAGGCAAATGGGAAGTCTCTGAAAAACAATGGAATCTCAAATAAATAAAATACATTTTCAAGCACTTCCTTTTCATGCTTACAAACACAAATGACCCACTTAAGTTAGCATCCCAAGCAAATCAAGAAACGTGTCACTGCAACTGTAATGCAATCTCTAATTGGTCACAAAAACCTCTCCTGTACAGAAACACAGGCTCCACGAGACGTTGTAGAATACAGATAAACACATTTCAAGGACATCCTAACTCAGAGAATCCTGTACCAGCATAAATCAGTGGCAAGGAAGGGTCAAACGTGCCCAGTGTGCACGTAAACACTCAGGACCTTTCAAGATCCACTTTTTTTACATACTTCTATCAGTCGTGTACATGCACAGAAACACAGATCATGCTCCTTTATTCATTGCACAGGATTTCCAGGAAACTGGACATCTTTCCTCAAATTGTATGCTACCTGCCTCATAAGAGGACTCATACTTCCCTGGCTCTGACGTTAATGGTATTGATGCCACAGGATAAGGCAGGACCAGAAAGTCTGAGTGAATGTGAGTGAGCTATATGGGGTCAGCCCTAGGAGGGCATAAACTGCACAGTCACCAGGACCACAGTTTGCCAAGTGCTCAGACCTGCCAACATTCCCTTTGCATTTGTCTGCCTGTGGACACTTTTGCTTTGTCTTTTGGGAGGTGACAAAGCTTTGTGCTTTCACATAGCACTGAAACATCTCAACACTATCTGTAAACAAGGAAACATTAGAGTGTGCTCAAAGGAAAAAGGGCTGAGTACAAGCAGAAACACTCACATGAAAGCAGTGGAGATTTTGAATGAAATATGAAAAACAGAACAAAAGCACTGGAAGAAGGAATACAGAACTCGTATGCCTTCAGGACCCCCTGATATCGCAGTGTCTGATGTCTAGCCTTGAAAATTACTTCCTAACAGCAAATATCTGCTGTGCCTGCTTCTAGGAAGGTACCCTTTGAAATC